CCCGGCCTCGCGCCGCTCGCATTTCGGGCTGCTCCCCGGGCTCGACGCAGACGTCGTTCCGGCGGTCCGCGCTGCGCTCTCCGGACCTCGGCGTCTGTGTGCCCCTCGCCTGGGTGCTTCCCTCCAGCGCTAACCCGCGTTTGCCCGAAGTGCATAGGGGACATTTGTGGGCCCAAACTGGGGAGTGTGTTGGGCTTCCCAGCCCACGCTGGGCAGGTACTGGCCTACTTTGCGTGGGACGGTTGGTGCACCCTGGTGACTTGGAGGAAAGCTGCGTGGCCTGTGTGGCTCGGTTAAGCTAGTGACAATACGGCTCTTTTCTGTGGACTTGGAGGCTTCCCCACCCCCACCCCGGCCCCTGGCCCTGGCCCCTTCCTCCGCCGCTTCCTCGGGGTTTGTGGCACAGTGTTGGCTGCTCCTTTGTTCGTGGAAGCAAAGCCCTGGGCCTCGGGCTGAAGGCTTTCCGCACCCGAGGGCACAGTTGTCCTAAGAGGCGCAGCTTGCTCCCGTGCTGATCTAAGCACCTTGTGGTGTGTGGTTTGAGGGTTTGGTCTGTCTCTGCAGAATCATTTGAACATGCCAAAGGGGCTTGATACCCTGGGCTTGGAGCTGGTGACAGCAAGTCAACTGGCCTCCTAAAACACCCGGGTGGTTCAAGCACAGCTTCCGGGACTGTAAGGCCACTCACACAGGGAACTCCACTCCACCAAAGAACTGACGCTTCGCCGTGCCCAGCGCCCCAGAAAGCCACTGGCGCCGCGACCGCTGCGGCAAAGGGGACCTGGGGCCCCAAGTTCCCTCTGTCCAGCCACAGGGCATTGTTAGGGCCAGAGACAGGGAGAAACTTGGGAAACACATGGGCACAGTGGGCGCGCAGAGGTCTGGACGGTGAGGGGATTCTTCAAGGAAACCCTTAATAGACCAGACCCAGGCCCAGCCAGCCGCGCAGGGAGATGACAGCATCAGCCTCAAGGGTGACCGTTCCTATGTGGGTTTTTTTTTTTTTTTTTTTTTTTTTTTTCTTACAGATCAACAAAAAACTACAGTGATCGAAAACGGGGAAATCAGGTTCAATGGAAAAGGGAAAAAGATTCGGAAGCCTCGGACCATTTATTCCAGTCTACAGCTCCAGGCTTTAAACCACCGTTTTCAGCAGACCCAGTACCTGGCCCTTCCCGAGAGAGCCGAACTGGCAGCTTCCTTAGGACTGACACAAACACAGGTAATTCCCAAGAAGCCCGAAAATCCCTGAAATGCTGGCCCACCTTGCAGATCCGGCAGGAATTCCTGGCCTAGTCAACTAGGGATGAAGGAGCTTAATGACAAATGCTTTTGCTCTGCTTGCACATTTTCTTGGGATTACACAGTGTGGAATAAATAACCTGGTATTGAATACTGGATTGGATTTACACATCTGCCTAATCCTCGGCGACCCTGCCCCAGCCTAGCTTCTATTGGCAACAAAATTTAAACCGTATTCCAGAGCAGAAAAACAGGAAAGAGAACAATCATGTAGGAGAGAGAGAGAGAGAGAGAGAGAGAGAGAGAGAGAGAGAGAGAGAGAGAGAGAGAATAAGGCCCACCTTTCTTAAGGCTACCTTTGTGGCCTTAGGAACTAATCAAAATTTCAACTGATTGATAGAGAAAGAAAAATTATAAAGCTAAATGGAAGGGTTTCAGTGGAGTAATCATCGGCTGCAAAGGGGATGGCAATAGGAGCGATGTGTGAATCGCTTGTCCTAGGATGTCCTAAACATTGCCCTAACCTCAGTGGTTAGATCATCCTGGGGGATGGGCTGGCACAGACTGGGGTTCCTCTCTGAAGCTCAGAACTTGGGGGCAGTGGCAGAGTTGAAAATCAAAAACAGTTACTCTCCAAATTCTAGCAGGTGAAGCCACAGGGCTATACAGTTGCTGAAGTTCTCCAATCTTACTAACGTGAAAGATGTCTCCCAGAAAGGGGTTTACGTGGGTGTATTAGGACCCTGCTCCTAAGGCCCAGCTTTGAATCAGCTGTTGTTTTTGTCCTTGTCAATCAGTTTAGTTGTATAGGGTAACTGGTCTCATTTGAGGTAGGTGATCAGCATTCAGCAGGGGAACTTCAGGGTTTATGAGACTGGTAATGGGGTACCATAAAGTGTGGGCTCGTAAGCTCTTCTTTTCAGTTTAGTTTGTGCCCTCTCTTGCCATATTGCCACTGAACATGTTGGATCTTTGACATGAAGTGCTACCAGCTACTTGTACTATTCTTGTACTATTCTTGTACTATTGTGACTTGTACTATTCTTGCAAAAGCAGATTCCAGGGATTTTAAAGGTAAGGAAAGATGTACCATCGGATTTTCTTCTTCGAATAAAGTACATCTGGGATGTTGGCCATCCATAGTGCTCATATCCCATGTTCCTGATTCATGTTCAGTTTTCAGAAGACTTTTCCTTTTAGTGATTATACTAATAATCATGTAATGACTGGTGACTATAGTTTGACTTAGCAGTGTACAAAGGAGAAAATGGGGGAAGTACAGTCCTCAGTACCTGAAGGACTGTGAGGTTATATTTATGTCTGGAGAAAGATGCTCCACGATGCATCTCTGACGATGGGCATTAAATGCCTAGATATGTTCAAGGTATTTGATTATAAATATAAAGGCTCTAATCTATTCATAGTCATTTGTTTACTGTACTTACATACAGATGCTAGCTTTTGTGATTGGTAAATAGAAACAGAGAAATGCAATTGTATGGTTTCAGTATGGAAAGTGCTTATTTCAAAACTCCTTCGTCAAATTTTGAACCCATTTCTCTCCTTCACTTTCTTATATTATTCTCATTTATGTTTATGCTTTCAATACAGGATAATATCTAATTCAAGAATCATGAAGATTTTAGGTACCTAGACCAAATACCTAGTAGGTTAGGAGTGGAGGGTGGAGGTGGCTAGAAAGAGATAGAGGAAGGTAGGACTCGCTCTTGGTGAGGTTGTGGGGGGTTTCCCGTCCCATATTGCTTCTTAAACCTGTAGTGACCCTAGAGGCACTCATTTATCAGGCCTAATGATCGCTGCCTTTTTTTTTTTTTTTTTTTTCAGGTGAAGATATGGTTTCAGAACAAGCGCTCTAAGTTTAAGAAGCTGCTGAAGCAAGGTAGTAACCCGCATGAGAGTGACCCCCTCCCAGGCTCTGCGGCCCTGTCACCACGCTCTCCAGCACTGCCTCCAGTGTGGGACGTTTCTGCCTCTGCCAAGGGCGTCAGTATGCCCCCTAACAGCTACATGCCAGGCTATTCGCACTGGTACTCCTCACCACACCAAGACACGATGCAGAGACCCCAGATGATGTGAGTTGTCAGAGGGAACACTAGGGGACCACTTGAACAAGACAAGGAGGACCGGACCTGCTTGTGTCTGCCAAATCGAGCCAGAGGAGCAGGCTCAGGAGAACTTGTATGTGTGGCCAGAGCTGGCTGGGCTCCTCTCTCCTTTCTCTGTCTGTCTCTCTCTGTCTCTGTCTTCCCTCACCCCTCTCTGTGTTTCTCTCCCCTCCCCCACCTTTGTTCACTTTTCATTCATTCTTTCTTTCATTTTTCCCCTTTACTTTCCTATCCTTTCCTCAACTGCTTTCTTTCTTGAACAACCTTAATAATTTATCTTGCATTTCAGAGAGGACAGAGAGAGAGAGAGAGAGAGAGAGAGAGAGAGAGAGAGAGAGAAAAGAAAGGAGAGAGACTAGTTTCTATGCCAGCGCTCCGAAAACCCCTCACTCTAAGGATATTTTCCCTTACCCCATGGGATTCCGGCTCTGAGCCTCCTCTTCTCTTTGGGAGTATCCATCAAAATGACTTTTTAGCAGCCATTTCTCCCCACCAGAAGAATCTGCACAAACATGGCAGCATTTTTACTTGTTTAATGAGCTTAAGACATTTCATGATGAAAGGGAAGCATTTTGGACTCCTTCATTTTTATTTACTAATCCCAGACTGACAAAAAAGAAAAAGAACGAACCCTCACATACCAACCCTTATCTAAAGAAAAAGGAAAAATCGGCTGTAAAACTAGAATATTGCCACAAGAGGAATGCTGCATGTTTTCTCAAAATGCAATGGCCAGAAATGATGATTCATTTAAAATACAAACAACAACAACAACAACAACAACAACAAGAAAAAGGCTCTTTTCCTACCCCACCCTCAGACCTTGAACTGCAATCAGCAAAGACAGAGGAAACACCAAAACCACCATTCTGTTGCTTTGACACCTTTGCTGGGTGGGCTGGCATTCACTAAGCTGATAGGGACATTTGTATCAAGAAGCATTTCTGTATATATTGTTGAATTTTAGTTGTATATATACTTTGTATGTTTTTGTCTTTCATATATGGAGTAAAAGCCACAAAATGCTGGGAGTGTCTCGTATATTTCTGTGTTTCTGTCTCTCATCTCTCTTTTTTCCTCCCTCCCATCCTATTTTCTATCACTCTTAAAAGAATTTCTATTTTCTAATATGGGAAACCCTATATATAAACCTCCCTATATATAAACATCAAGTGCCTGAACAGAGTCCACTTTGCACTTCCAGCCTTTGTCTGAAGCATTTCTCCAGGAGCCATGGATGTTTTCAAAGCTTTCTTTTACATGTTAATTTTAACTGTAATTTCTAAACATTTATCTATTTTTTTTAAATACTAGACTCCTCTATCCTCAGATTTATCTGTGGCTAGCCAGTAGTTTCTAGTATTAAAACTGAGCACTCCCCCTTTCTCTTTTCCTAGCCAGAATGATACAGAAGTATTTATCTTTGTTTGGAGGCAAATTTTAATTTAAAAAAAAGAGGAAAGAATGAAGAAAAAAAAAAAAAAGAAAGCAAAGTGCACAATTCTGCCTATTTAATGCTGAAACCCCACTGCAAGCTAGCTAGGTAGGAAAGATGTATGATCCTGGATGAAATGCTTCCTTCCGATCACACAGAAAGCAAAGAAATAATGAAAATGAAAAGTCCTTTCGTCATGCAAGCAGGAAGCCCCATACTGTGAGAATTAATGGCTACAGACCTGGGCGTCCTTCAAATTATGAACCTTGAAACCACTGAGCCATTTATCAGAAGTCAATAGAGATACTCAGAGTGCTCCATATAATGACAGCGACATACAGTCGTGCAAAAGGACAGTCACTATAATTAGACACAAAGCAAAGACTACTTACCAATATACCCGTTCCTTTTTTTGTTGAGCAACTTCCACGCTCAGTCAGTCTTCAGAATGGTTTAAAACCGATCAGTCTTGTCATTTTCTAGCATTCGCATTGTTACATTAGGAAAAATGTTTTCTTTTCTTTTTTCCCCCTTCCTACTGTGAAACTTTGGGTTCGTAGCTCCCCAGGATCAATTCTGAACAAAGCCTCCAGCTGCAGTGCCATCCAATTTGAAGCAGACATTGGGGACAATTTAAGGTTTTTATCCACAAGAAGGTTTTTTTCCATTCTCTTAAATGCAGCCATAATTAGAGTAATTTTTCATGTAGCCCGCTGATTACAGCGTTTTTACCGTCAAAGATAATTACCTGTAATTTTCTTCCACTTTTAATACTAAAAAGCCATCTTTATTTAGATTCAGGAACAGGAAAGGCGAAACAAAAGAGGGAAATTATTCTGTTATTCATACACAAATTGCAGAGACGTAGGACCTAAAATTGAAAATTAACCAAAATTATAATGCTGAAAAGAATGGAAGAGGCTGCAGAAGTACAGCTGCTAGTGGGGCTTTGCTGAATTATTCAAATTACGTTAGAGGGAAAGCTACCATACATCGAAACCAACACTAATTTTTCTCTCTTAAAAAAAAAAAATCACCAGATACATGCCAAACCACTGTAAGCGTATGGAACCCTGAAACCCGGCAAACGTATGTTAACATACTGGAGGTGTTCATGTGATGTATCTGTGTTGAGCTCTTTATCGCTTAACATGAGTTTAATTAAATTCTGCCAAGGAGTCCCCCTCAAACTGTCCTTGGAAATGGGCTTTCTCTGGCTCCTCTGAGCTTCAAGAGTTAATATTTTCGCTCTTTAGAATGTATTGACCCCCCTAGTAAACCGATTCCCCGAGGGAGGGATTCGTAGGAGGGGCGTGGGCGAAAGGCGTCGCCCAGTTGCGCTGCCTACACCTACGTTCCACCTTCCGCGGAGGTTGCAGAGTTTGACTTCCACAGCTGCGTTATGACCATATTTCCCATTTTGAAAAAGAGCAATAGCTGCAGGTATGGGATGGGGGGCTGGGTGAGGGTGAAGGAGACAATTTCTCCTTGGTGCCAATAAGCATCTCATTATCTTTTGACACAGTTTAGTCAAAAGGTTCCTGCCTGTCTAGGAGAAAGGCTTTTTCTGTGCTGGGGAAACCAAAGATTTCTCAGGCTCCTGCACTCCACATTTGTAGCTGCTTAGAAGGTCTACGCGGTCAGGAAACAGCGTCATCTACAGATAGAACAATACTGCTTTCAACCGGAGTCGTCTTTGGTACGTTTCTAAACCAGACAGCTTCCTTGGCTCTGCAGCTAGGCTTTGCAGCTCAGCCAATCGTGCCCCTTCAACCCCAAGGCCTCAGCATTTGCGCTTTGTGAGACCCACATACCCACCGCCAGCCTCACCCCTACACACACACACACACACACACACACACACACACACACACACCTTGAGGTAAAGGCCCTGCAAACAGCTTCAAAGGATTCCAGAGGCCATTCACCTTGAAAACTCTTCTAACTGGAAGAAGGATGATTGAGAGACTGCAAAGTCAAGAGATTCAGGCTGCACTTGGCTTTGCAAAAATCTGCATACCTGTGATTCTGAAGGAGCCCTGCCGGGAGGTCCCTGCTTCATCTCTGGACACCTCAAAACCTAAAATCATGGCCACATGTAAAGATCTCAATGGATTCACCTAGGAGTATCTGTGACTATCATCCTCAAATAGCCTTCATCTTGGAGTCTCGGGCTCCTTCGCACCTTTCAGAAACCCAACCCTTTGCACAGTCTCCAGTCACCGACTGCACCAAAGACATCAACAACACAGATAACAAGACACATAAATCAGGTTCTTAAGGATCCGAGTCTCACCGGAACCCTGATACTCATCGACAATCACTCCTTTACTGTTAAAGGGGGAGTAAAAGAGCAAAATTGAAAAATCTATAAAGCAAAGCTGTATTCCACAATAAATCGCCACAATAACACACATAGGTTGGAAAGCACAAGAAGGGGAATATAAACTATGCCTTGAAGTATGCAAGAAATAAAAACTTACCCCCAGTGAATACTTCTTAAGCAATGATCAGGGTCTAGAAATCTATTCTGAACCGAAGCAGAGGAGAATATTTTTCTGAGTCTCAGGACAGAAGCTCTTTCTCTATATTCTTGGTTGAGTGAGCACATCCAGGTGTGAAATTGTTTGCACACCCCAGCACCTCTTATATTGCCAGCAAAATTAGCTGTTATTACTGTCACTGTTTAGTGATGGTTAGCGTGATACAAAAAAAAAAAAAAAAACTGCTGTAATCAAGACCTGGCGCATCTTTGCAAATTACAGATAATTGTAAACGTCCAGATTATGATAATAGCATCCTAATCCAGCCTGCAATATAATTATTACAGAGTGTTACATCTGAAACTGTCCAGTAGGGCTAATTCAGCCATTATTTAGACCCTATTTTTGCACTGCAAATGGGTTGCTGAGTTGAAAATGTACGATTGTAATTTCACGGGGCACTCAATGAGTAATGGTATAGGAAGAGGAAAATACAAAAGTGAAATGTGAACAGTAGCGATCAAATCAAACCCTGAAGGACAAAAGACTGTTTGATTCATATGGAAAAAGAAGAGCGGGAATTAAGAAAATAGCAAATCAGTAGTCTGAAGCATTACGTGTCCAAATCCTCAATAGCGCAGGGCTGATATGTTTGCAAGGGCTGCTGTGTCTGCTGCTGCTGCCTGGAGTCTGAAATAATTTTTTTTTCTTTCTTTCTTTTTGAAAATCCCTCATCTTTCTCCTCTCTCCCAAAGCATTTTGCTACTTTAAAAAGTGCCCCTCCCCAAAGCAAAGAATATTTGTCAGTTTTATTGTTTCCATAACAGCTGCCTTACAGTGTGCCTGTCACTTGTTTATGAACATTTTCTTAAATGAATTTGCAATCTCTTGTCATCAGAGCAGAACACCCTGGGTGCTTTTAAGTGTTTCTGGGCTCCATCTCCATCTTTTCCACCCTCTTTCATAGTGAAAAAGTCAGGGAGAGTCTTGAAGGATATTAGCAGACAGCATATTGATTGCTGCTAATTGAATATAGCTAGGTGGGAACTGTCTTCTCCAGCTGATTTGGCTGGCTATTGGTTTTAATCCCGTTATTAACTTTTATTTATTAAATGTCATAAATCACAGAACATAACCACCCAGAAAAATCAGCCCAGCTGCTTCTTTTGCTATATGTCACCACACACCTAAAAGAACAAGGTCTACTTAAAATAGGAAAGGACCAAAGAGACAAG